TGCCCCCCGCCGCGGGCCCCGCCCGAGGTAAGGACTGAAAGGAAAGGCGGGGGCCCGTTTTCCCGGGAGCAGCTGCCGCAGGGAAGATCTGGGAGCGATGCTTCCGGTCCGTCTTCGCCCCTCTCGCCGCCTTCCGGTGCCACCTCCGTTTCCGCCCCGGGAGGCTGCGGAAGCGGGATGCGAAGGCCGCGGATTTGGTACCTGGGAGCCTCGTGGTCTTCTCAGGCGGCGCGGTGACTTCGAACCAGGCTTCAGCCGGGGCTGTGGAGTAGGCGAAGGGCAGAGTAAGGGGCCGCTCGCCCGGTCTGCTGCCAGGTGCTTCGCGGCGGAGACCAGATCTGTCTAGGTGGCTGCCGAAGTGAGCCTTGGCGGGTACCTGCTGTGTCACCTAGTCTTTTAAATTTTAGGAAAACACCCACAGCGAGTTATCACAGGGCAGACCTCACGATGGCACCAGATGACTGTCTGGAGCATATTGTTTTTGTGAAGAAGCACGTGTTAACTTAGGCAATTGGCAACCAGGAGGACGCATACTTTCAGTTTTGTTTTAGGCTCTTCCTCCGTAACGTCATCAGAAAAACTGAAAAAGTAGTGTTGTGTTTTGCTTTTTTTTCCCCCCTGCATTTCCAGCAGTGGAAGGTGGTTTTCACATGTTAATTGGCTGCCTGGTTTGTGTGGTCATTATTAATTGATAGAAGGGTGATTAGGTTTACCCATGATTGGGGCTTGTCCTCAGGAAGTTTACATTATGATTGAAAAAAAGATCTATGTAGAGTTTAAATTGACTGGCAATGTAAAGGACAAAGAAGGGGGCCAAACTATATAAATACTGTAAAGACTCAAAGGTAAAGGCATCCCTGTGGCCTTGGAGCAATGCAAAGGTAGAACATAAATTTTGTGTTAGTGGGCAAGTAGGATTCAGTTCAAGAAACAATAGCCTGAAGCTGGCTTTCAGGGTTCCTCTAGGGTGTCTTTAAAGAGAAACTTTAGATAGATTGAATTTAGCAGAGTTTGAGAAAAGAACTACTCATTAATTGGGTAGTACCCTGAACCAGTAGTTTCAGAGAG